AGATAAAACCAAAAGAACTGTGGAGGCTGTAAATCAGAGACAAAAATTGAAATTGCTGGAAAAGCTCAGCGGGTCTGGCAGTATCTGTGGACAGAAATCAGAGTTAACGTTTCAGGTTGAGTGAACTTTCCTCAGTTCCTCAGTGAACTTTCCTCAGTTCCTCAGTGAACTTTCCTCAGTGAACTTCTGTCCACAGATGCTGCCAGACCCGCTGAGCTTTTCCAGCAATTTCAATTTTTGTTTGTAAATATATGAGGTATGGTTAGTAAGTTTGCAGATGACACCAGAATTGTTGGTAGTGTAGCGGACAGCAAAGAAAGTTAACTCAGAGTACAAGAGGTCTTTGATCAGATGGGCAAATGGGCCATGGAGTGGCAGATGGAGTTTAAATTAGATGGATGTATGGTGCTGCATTTTGGTAGGGCAAATCAGGGCAGGACTTGCGCACTTAATGGTAAGGTCCCAGGGAGTGTTGTTGAACAAAAAGACCTTGGGGTGTAGGTTCATAGTTCCTTGAAATTGGAGCTGCAAGTAGATAGGGTGGTGATGGTGGCATTTGGTACGGTTGCATTTATTGGTCAATGCATTGAGTATAGGAGTTGGGAAGTCATGTTGCGGCTGTACAGGATATTGGCAAGGCCACTACTGGAATACTGTATGCAATTCTGGTCTCCCTGCTACAGGAAGGATCTTGTGAAACTTGAAAGGGCTCAGAAAAGACTTACAGCCTCAGATGACCGTGTGGATTTCCACCGGGTGCTCCAGTTTCCTCCCACAGTCCAAAGAGGTGCAGTATAGGTGGATTGGTCATGCTAAATTACCAACAGTGTTCAGGGATGTGCAAGTTAGCTGAATTGGCCACGGGAAATGCAAGGTTACAGGGATAGGGTAGGGGTATGGGGGTCTATGTGGGATGCTCGGACAGTTGGTGTGGCCTTGTTGGGCCGAATGGCCTGTTTCCACACAGTGGGGATTCTATTAAAAAAAAAATTACAAAAAAGGCTGTTGCCAGGGTTGGAGGGTTTGCACTATACAGAAAGGCTGGATATATTTTCCCTGGAGCGTCAGAGGCTGAGGGTTGACCTTATGAAAATTTATAAAATTAGAGGGGCATGGATAGGGTGAATAGCTAAGGTCTTTTCCCCAAATCTAGAGGGCGTAGATTTAAGTTGAGAGGGGAGAGAGGAAAGATATTTTTTTATTATATTTATATAATATAAAGAGAGAGACCCAGGGGCAACTTTTTCAGGGCAGAGGCTGGTGCATGCATGGAATGTGCTGCCAGAGGTGGTGGTGGTGGTGCAGCTGGTACAATTACAATATTGAAAATGTACGTGGATGGGTATATGAACAGGAAGGGTTTAGAAGGATATGGGCCAAATGCTGGCAAAAGGGACTAGATTAATTTGGGGTATCTGGTCGGCATAGATGAGTTGAACCAAAAGGGTCTGTTTCCATGTTGTACATCTCTATGACTCTAATTAAGGATGGACAATAAACACTGACCTAGCCATCAAAATTCCCTTGAACAAATAAAAAAATCCCAATGGGGAAAATTAATCAGTAATTTGCAGAACAGAAATTCAACTTGATGACTGAAAATGTTTGAATCTGAAAACAATGACTAAATAAAACAGTTAGAAAAAGTACAGAAACTCTTGCAACAGGAACTAATTAAAAATCAAGTTCTGGAAGGTACAGGACATAAGTGCAAGTAGGAAAAACACATTTCTACAACATACTATAGCAAAAATTAATTTTTAGATGGATATTAAACACTGCTTTACTGACAAATAACAATAATTTAATGATAAATAAAATATAAAAAGAGCATTACCCAAATTCTTCATCAGAATCCAACAAATACAACAGCGCTGAAGCATAATCTTTCTTCTTCATAAATGCTCTGCCTTTTTCATGTAGCGTCATAGCTAACAATAGTGCCTAGGAAACAATCAAACTGGAATTGAATTAAAAACCTTAAATGCAAAACTGGTTGAGTTGGGCATATTGACATTAACAGCCAGACAGCAAATCCGTCAAATCTGCATTTTTTCCAAAAAAAAAAAGAGGGGGGAATAAAACAGGATGTGATATTTGAAGCAATAGAGAAAGTAGGTTTTGGTAATGTTGCTATATTTATATAGCACATTTAACTTAGAACATAGAATAGTACAGCACAGTACAGGCCCTTCGGCCCACAATGTTGTGCCGAACTTTTACCCTAATCCCAAGGTCTATCTAACCTCCACCCCTACCTTATATTATCATCCATATGCCTATCTAATAGTCGCTTAAATGCCCCTAATGAGGCCACTCCACTACCCTCTCTGGCAATGCATTCCACGCCCCGACCACTCTCCGAGTAAAGAGCCTACATCTGACATCTCCCCGATATCTACCCCCACTTACTTTAAAACTATGCCCGCTCGTAATAGCTTCCTCTGCCCTAGGAAAGAGACTCTGGCTGTCTACTCTATCTATACCTCTGATCATTTTGTACACCTCTATCAAGTCACCTCTCATCCTTCGTCGTTCTAAAGAGAAAAGCCCTAGCTCTCTCAACCTTTCCTCGTAAGACCTTCCCTCCATTCCAGGCAACATCCTGGTAAATCTCCTCTGCACCTTTTCCAACGCTTCCACATCTTTCCTGTAATGAGGCAACCAGAACTGGACACAATACTCCAGATGTGGCTGAACCAGGCTTTTGTATAGCTGGAGCATAACTTCACGGCTCTTGAACTCAATCCCTCTATTAATGAAAGCTAACACACCATACGCCTTCTGAACAACTCTATCCACCTGGGTGGCAGCTTTCAGGGAACTGTGAACATGAACCACAACATCCCTCTGCTCCTCCACACTGCCAAGAATCTTTCTGTTAACCCTGTATTCTGCTTTCAAGTTTGTCCTTCCAAAGTGAATCACCTCACACTTTTCAGGGTTAAACTCCATCTGCCACTTCTCAGCCCAGCTCTGCATTCTATCAATGTCCCTTTGTAACCTAGAACAGCCCTCCGCACTGTCCACAACTCGACCCACCTTTGTATCGTCCGCGAGCTTGCTAATCCACCCTTCCACTCCTTCATCCAAATCATTTACAAAAATCACAAATAGAAGAGGACGCAGAACAGATCCTTGTGGTACACCACTTGTAACTGAGCACCATGTTGAATATTTTCCGTCCACTACCACCCTTTGTCTTCTAAGCGTCAGCCAATTCTGAATCCAATCTGCCACATTTCCCCCTATCCAATGCCTCCTTACTTTCTGCATGAGCCTACCATGAGGAACCTTATCAAACGCCTTACTTAAATCCATGTATACCACATCCACTGCTCTACTTTCATCCACGTGTTTGGTCACCTCTTCAAAGAATTCAATAAGGTTTGTGGGGCATGATCTACCCCTCACAAATCCATGCTGACTATCACAAATCAAACTGTGCCTATCCAAGTGATCATAAATCCTATATCTCAGAGCCCTTTCCAATAATTTGCCCACCACTGAAGTAAGACTAACTGGCCTGTAATTTTCAGGGTTATCCCTAATCCCTTTTTTGAACAAGGGAATGACGTTTGCCACTCTCCAATCTTCCGGCACTATACCAACGGACAGTGAGGACGAAAAGATAATAGTCAAAGGCCCTGCGGTCTCTTCCCTCGCTTCCCATAGAATCCTTGGATAAATCCCATCAGGGCCGGGGGACTTATCTATCTTCAACTTCCTCAAAACTCCTAGCACATCTTCCTTACTAACATCGACCTCCTCTAGCCTACCAGCCAGTTTCACACTGTCCTCCCCTACAACTAGGTCCCTCTCAGTTGTGAATACCAAAGAAAAGTATTCATTAAGGACCTCTCCTATCTCTTTAGGCTCCGTGAACAAATTCCCTTTACAATCCTTGATCGGCCCTACCCTTTCCCTGGTCATTCTCTTATTCCTCACGTACATGTAAAAAGCCTTGGAGTTTTCCTTGAAAACTTAATGAAATATCAAGCTGCTGCAATAGGAGAATTACAAATGAATGTCTGCCACTTACACACAGATATCAGGTGAAGTGACTAAACACTTGGTTGAATTAAAATACTTATAGAGTATCTGAAAGATGGTAGAGGTGGAGTAGATAAAAGGTGCAAATTCAAGAAACTGAAGGCATGGTCACCAAGCAAAATCCTGACATGCAATTACATGGGTATGACCATCTTAAAGATTTCAAGCAACACCATCACCATCCCTGACAGGCAGCGGCTGTGTCATGCGGCATTATCACAATGCCAATTGGGATGGATTTCAAATAGGTCCAACATCTCAAGTCTGGACATCAGCAACAGCAGAACTGTACTCAATCTGCAACTCATGGCCTATCATATCTCCCATTACCACCACGTTAGGGGCCCAGCCAAGGTTCAAAAAGTGCAGAAGGATATGCCAGGAGCAGCACCAGACATTCCTAAAAATAAGCCAATCTGGTGAAGCTATACCAATCGACTACTTGCATGAAAATAGCACAAGCAACAGGTGACAGAACAAGCTCAGCAATCCACAACCAATTAGATCAGATTTTAAGCTCTGCAGTCCTGTCAAATCCAGTCATGACTGGTAGTGGACAAAGTAACTAGAGGTAGTGGCTCCTCAAATATCATCATTCTCAATGACAAAGTCCAGCACATCCATGCCAAACAAAGCTGAAGTATCAGCAACTATATTCAGCCAGAACTGCAGATGGACAATCCAAGTCAACCTCCGCCAGAGGTCCCCAGCATCATACGTGCCAGTCTTGAGCTAATTCAATTCAATTTACTGATTCAAATAAAAGAAAGCTGGAGGCACTGGATACTGCAAAAGCAATGAGCTCTGACAATATTCCGGCATTGGTCCTGAAGGACTTACCACACCCCTAGACAAGCTGATCCAGTACAGCTACAAATTGCTCAGGTATGTCCTACACACAAAATGCAAGACAAATCCAACACAGGGCCAATTACCACCACATCAGTCAAGGTGATGAAAGGTGTTTCAAGCAACATGTGCTTGCTGACACCCTGCTTGCTTTCTGCCAGGGCCACTTCTGACTTTATTATTGCCTTGGTTTAAACATGGACAAAAAAAAACTCCAGAGATAAGGGGAGAGTGCCTGCCCTTGATATTAAAGCAGCATTAGACTAAGCGTATCATTAAGGAGCCCTAGCAAGACTGGTGTCAAATGGGGAAAAAAAAACAAGAGGAAAATCTCCACTGGTTGAAATCATCCCTAGTACAAATGAACAACAGTTGGGGCTTTTGGAGATCAGTATCTCAGCTGCTGGACACTTGTGCAGGCATTCTTCAAGCAGTGTCCTAGGCACCCCCCCACCTTAAATCTGCTGCTTCAATGACCTTCTTCCGTCATAAGGTCAGAAGCGGGATTATTCGCACAATGTTCAGCACCCTTCATAACTTTAGATACTGAAACAATCCAAATCCAAATGCAGCAAGACCTGGGAATATCCAGATTTGGGCTGACAAGTGGCAAGTAACAAGTAACATGCGTGCTACAAAAATGGCAGGCAAAGACCATCTCCAACAAGAGAACTTAACCATTGTTCATGACACCCCATGCCACTAACATCACCGAATCCCCACTATCAACATCCTGGGGACAAATTGTCAACTAGAAACTGAATTAAACTAACCATAAAAAATACTGCAGCTTTAAGGGCAGGTCAGAAGCTAGACTAAAAAAGAAACTGTATTATGATCTTTGAAACTTGCTCATTAGATGCAGGTCACTTACCTTTTTCTCTACAGCAGGAATGGGGATTGGGCGCCCTTTCTGATCTGCAATCTCTAAGTATGGAATGTTACTAAGATCTGTATTTTCACCTAGAAGAGAAAAATGTTCATTCAATTTATTCCAATGCCCCCCCTCAAAAAAAGTCTAGAAGTAAAGTATTCTAAGTAAACAATGAATAATGAAATATTACGTAGTCAACTTATGAGTCCACATCCTTTCTATATAATAGAAGGATACTGGCTAATTTTCAGGAACAGGTTTCACCTACAGAGCACAGAAAAAGGATTGCTACGTCATCTGCTTTCCCAGCTGAAGTCAGCACTGGCATAAATTGTTCTCTTGCTGCTAAAATTCTTAGATATTTTAAAATGTTGCTAGGAAACACAAGCAAAATAATTGTTGCTCTTTCTTCTCACAAAATACTGTTTTCTTCCTCACACCACCCCTTCATATCCCTAGCTGATTCACTCACCGTATCTATTGAAATTGTTACAGACAGAATATTGAAGGGGTTAGTAACAAGGCAAGTGAATTTCAGGACATGGTACAAATTACACATGACTCAGACAGTAATTAATTAATTACTGGTTCCATAAACATGAGGGGGACAGGAAATTTTATCCCAAATTCTTTTAATAAGATAAGCTTACCATGCTGAGCTAAGATTTCAGCACCTTTTCTGGTCCTAGATATTTTGGCTTTCCTCTCATCCCATTCTTTCATCTCCGCTTGATAAATTGTCTCCTGTTCTTTTGCTTCTTCTTCAGTCAGAGTTATTTGCATAACCATAATTATTGAATTATTTCTTACATTCTGTTCAGCAAGCGATCGATCTGAAAAATACAATGAGACTTTTACCAAGAAAAATACACAACTAAGTTTGTGTATTGTGACATGGCATTTCTTTAAATTTATTGGAATGGGTGGGGCCCAGTTTAAGTTTTCCTACTCTTGGAATTACTGATCTCTGCTTTGTTATTGAACAGAGCAAGTTTTAGTATATATTAAGCATGTAAATTCTACTAGTCAGAGCAACAAAATAATTGAACCATAGGTTGAATTCTGTGATTTAGTTGTGTTTTGATGCGATATGATGAGTGAGCAACACCACTAAATGAATTTCGGAAAATTGTCTATTGCTACTTAGATTAACAAGAGAGTGCCAAAACAATGAAAAGTGATTTCCTATTAAGGTTTCCTATTCCTATTATTTAGGTAACTACATTTATTGGAGTGAACAAGGCAGCCATAACAAAAGAAAAAGGTCTCACAGGCCTTGTCTTGTGGATTACAACACAGACAGAGTGATTAACGTGGGGAAGTCACTCTCTAAAAGGACTTTAAGAGAGGTTAACAGATTTTCTTTGCAGACTTATTAGAATGGAACAATACTATCACTATGGTAACCTACTTACCCATTTTAAGAACTTTGGAGTTCATTATGAGTTTAACATGTTGTTCATTCATTCCGGTCAATTTCGCAATTCTGTATAGGAATGAAAATACAACCATGGAGGTGCAATTCACAACAAAAAAAAAAGCATGACTATAAAAGACTTGTTGTACAATCTTCCATTGCCTAACCCAGTGTGAAGAAATGAAGGGTAGGAATCATTTGAGCAAGATGGATGTTTTAAGACATCTGGGTCTCTTTGTTATTTTGAGGGATTGTTGTTTTGCCTTACTACCCTCAGTTTCTAAAGTTATGTTTTATTTCCGCATGCAGCTATTTTCTAGCACAGTCCAAGTATAAACAGCATAAAGTAAACCAATGTTAGCTTACAGTCCATTTATCAAAGCCTGTATTTTTGCCTTGTAAAACTTTAACATTTCTAGCAGCAATATAATAAATACTGGCCTTGATAGCAATGCCCAATTCCAAAGAATAGTTTTTCTTTTTGTATTACATTTCAATACAGAGAGAATGAAATTTTATTTTAAAACAGTAGATGCAGATACAAATAAAATTTATTTGCCAATAAATGTGTATGGCTGAAAATCACATTTACTTTATAATGCACCAAACTTAAACTGATGATTGTACAGTAAACATCTTCCATACAATTCTTCACAGCTCAAAACAGGCACAGGACTTACTCAGCTCTCAGATCTTTGGCTGATATGTTTAGTTTCGTTGTCAACTTAGTTTTCTCTTTTCTTTTTGTCTGCAATATTAAAAACAATAGTCTTCAAACCGCATTCACTGACATATTCCAAATAACAATAGACTATATTTTTTTAATTTTGAAGAGAACAGCCTGTAATGATAAAAAGTCAGTTTTAATCTAGTTGCTAAAATCTGCAAGTACCCTGAGCAAAGCAAAAGCATTTTTCAGCAAGCGTCTTGGGGTATTTTTGTAAAAGGGTTCTTCAATAAAAAGGTGAACGATTGTAGCAAAAGTAATTTTGGCTTGGAAGGAACAAGTGTCACTCAGATATAAACTGTGTTTCAGATCAGAATTCATTAATTAGTTGCACCATTACAAAAACAAAAGTCACTTACATGACTGGTGTAATGGATACGGATTGTTGCAAGTCCAGTGTCCTCGAATGTCTTTTTTGCATTTATGCCTTGCAGTGAATTACATCTCAAATTTTCAAGAACATTTTCCACCATACTCAAATCAATGCACAACTGTAATGCATATTTCTCACCTAGAATCTTGATGGGAAAAAAGGAAAAAGTAGAGATTATTTTTAAGAATCACTTTTATTCTCTGCACAAGGTTAAATATTCATGCCAACACAATAAGATAAAGCCATAAGAATTGTAGATCAGTAACAAACTCAAATAAATGCTGAAGAAATTCAGCGGGTCCAGCAGCTTCTGTGATGAGAGAAACAGAGTTAAAATGTTAACTCTGTGTCTTAACTATTCCTCTGTCCAAAGATGCTGCCAAACCTGCTGAATTTCTCCAGAATTGTTTGTTTCAGATTTCCAGCTACTGCAGCATTGCGCTTAAATTCACGTGTAGATTAGTGATTAACAGAAGCCTATCTACCAGGCAGGCAAGAAATTGGGTTTTCTTAGTATAAGGGTTTGACAGAATGACTACACTGCATTAGAATGACTGCACTGAATACTACACTTAACTTGGTTATTACTGCTAAATAGCAGAGCCAAAGCCACTTTGAATCTATTCTGTACAGCACATGGCCCAAAAGGTGCAAACAAATAAAAACTGTGGATATTCATTGAGCCAAATAATGTTTTTAACACAATACATTTTCTACTTCTCTAAAGTAGAGTGCTTTAAAAAGCCAGAGTTGAAATAAGTATAGTAGAAAACAGGATAATGTAACTATGGGAAATTCCAGCTCACCCACAAGGCATAGATTCAAGCATGCGGTTGCAGAAACGCATTTATTGCATTGGCAATGAAATTTAATTTCAAAAGTGTGACTGCTTTCTGATCTATCCAAACATTTATTTATAAACTCTAGGATCATATAGGACAGAAAAAAGGCATTCAACTCTGTCTGGCTCAACTTTGAGAAACTATCTACTTAGTCTAGTTCCCTGCCTTTTCCCCATAACCAAAAACAATTTGAAAAATTCTGAAATTTTTTGAAAATTACTGAATTTGGTTCAACCACTCTTGCAGACAGTATATTCCAAATCTTAACAAGTAAATACTGCTGGCTTACCATGTGATTAAAAACCATATTTATTATTAAACAGGGTACTTGTCAACAGTCTATGCTTACATCTGCTTTACTGTACTTTAATAACTGTAATGAGACAATGTTTATTTATCAGGGCAAGTTATAATGGGTGAAAGTTTACAAACTATGTTCAGGTTTTGAGAATTGAAAAGTTCATGAAATTCATGATTATGGGTGCAGCTAGTTAATTTGTTTTATAAAACAATACTAAAACCAATCAGCTGCAGTATGTTATTTTTTGTTTCACTTAAACACTCAACCACTCTGGAAGTTTTCACTGTAACAGCTGTGAGGTTGCTATCAAACAAAAGGTAGCAATTATTATTACTAGTAAAATTTGTTTTATTTGAAACTCTCTTCTCCCTAGAATTTGCAGAATTGATCCATGAGTTCTTGCCAATAATACTGCGCAAATGTCCTGTTGTTAAGGTCAATGCAAAAGGGGCTACCACTTCTGTAAATAAAATTTAAAAAAGTAACTAATTTTCTTTGACAACAAGGTGCAGAGCTGGATGAACACAGCAGGCCAAGCAGCATCATAGGAGCAGGAAGGCTGACGTTTCGGGCCTAGACCCACTACACTTATGTATCTTAGCAGGAAATATTTTGTCAGTTTCTGTCAATTCAAAGCATGAAGTTCACAGCGCAAGAATATTTGTGCCGCTGTTTCCAGCTGCTTTGTCTTTGTGGATATAGGGCCAGTGTTAAGATAAAATTGCATTTAAAAGAAGTACCTTTAAAGTAATGAATAATTCCAAAAAAGGAAAAAAATGCTGAAACACCTTTACAGCCAGACTTCCAAATACATTGCTAAGATAGCAGAAACAAAATACCCTGAAAAGAGAGCATTTTCTGACTAAACAGCAAGCTGTCCATAGATCTGGAGTTTCCCTTCCAAAAGGGAATCTGACACTGCTGGTGACTACATAATACACATGCAAATGTTTCTTACAAGTATTGCAATTTATCTTGTACCATACTTTCAGCTCTGGTGAAGCATCTTTATTTTCAGCTGTGTAAGGAGGCTCCCAAAGTTTGACCTTTTCGTTCTCCAGCAGTGACCTGACTTGGTCCTGAACCACATTTTCTGGTGGGCCATCAGTCGCCATTCTTCTAAAGAAAGTTTCAAAATAAAATCCCAATTAAAATATCATATAGCAATTTCACAATCGATACTTAGAATAAACAGAAAGAGTAGTCTGCTTTATTAATGAATTTTGTGCAAGGTCAGACAAGAGTATGTGCAACCTCATACTATTAAATGAACCTGCCCTGTAGCTAGTGATTAAACTCAATAAAAGTGCATTTCATGATTTTGATACAATGCAATCTAGGGATTAGGTACAATAGGAATTAAGCTGGTTTCTATCACATTATTAAGAATTCCAACAATACCACACTCTCAACATAACTGAAAAACGAGAAGGAAAAACGCTAACTGACTCAAGATTTATACCACTCATGGAATCCATCTTTTTATTTCAAAAATATACTTTATTCATAAAAATATTATATAGTTATAAACAGAGCTCAGTTTTGTACAGTAGCATATCAAGGAAACAAAAATACTGGAGTTTGACTCTATCCAATAAAACAAACCAGAGGCATCTCTTACTTGTACAAGACTATATTTATATGCATTTGTAGCACTGAGAGGATCCGATAACGAACAGACCCCCATTTAACTTCAGCAGAAAGACCTTATGCAGTGGTTTTTACCCACTGCACCTTGGTGGCAGCTGCTCCAAGCTTTACTGCATCGCTCAGCACATTGTCCTGGACCTTAGAATATGTCAGTCAGCAACATTTGGTTGGAGATCAGCTCCTTGGTCTAGAAGACCAACAAGTTTCAGGCAGACCAAATAGCATGTTTCACTGAGCTGATGGTCCTCCAGGCACAGCTGATGTCTCAGTGTGCACCCCAGGGAACAGACCGTACAGCATAGAATCCTGCGTCATTGAACTGCTTGGGACAAACCACTGCATCTTTCTCCAGATGTCCTTTGCAAAGGCACATTCCAGAAGGAGATGTGTGATAGTCTCGTTCCCCCACAGCTGCTTTAAGGGTAGTATGCGGTGATACACACAGACTGCATGTACAAGAAGGATCTCACAGGTCAACACCAGCCAAGTGACATCTTGGTGCTTGTGGGAATGTTCTGGTGAGGAGACACTCCACCATGACGGATAGTCTGCTCAGGGAACTATGCGATAGGATCTACCCTCTCCTTTTCCCAGAGTCTCAAAGATACTACGTGCTGACCACTTCCTGATGGACTTGTGGTCAAAGGTGTTTCTCTTTGAAATTTCTCCACAAAGGACAGGTGATACTACTTGGAACGTTCAGCATGCACAGAATCCATTACTGAAGTAGATCAAACCACCCCATTTAGTTACAGATACTCAAACAAGATGACTTTGAATGCAACAAGAGTTAGGGCAAGTAAAGTCCATCAGACTGCTCGATGATGCGCAAGCTACTACCAGTTACATCTCTACCAGAAGGTCTTTTGAGAAAGGGAATGCCACGGGTTATGACAGGACTAAAAAAAAAAAAAACACAGGTCTATCAGCGAACCCAAAGCAGAGGTGATTATCAAATGAGATATACAATTGGAAAAGTGGGTTGTACTCGCAGGAGACCATATCATTAAGGAAGCACTTGACAAAAGGAAGTCCGTCAGGACAAAATTAAATATCAAACCCATAGTGCAGGAGCCTATTAGCATACCTATTGACTCATGTCATGGGTAAAGCTGTATGAGCTGGTGCTATGCTATGTGAACAAATCAAACAGGATATCACAATCAAAGTTGCTGGAAAAGCTCAGCAGATCTGGCAGCATCTGTAAAGGAAAAAATAGATTTAACGTTTCATTAACCTGTTCTAAGGAAGGGTCACCGGACCCGAAACATTAACTCTGTTTTTGTCTTCACAGATGCTGCCAGACCTGCTGAGCTTTTCCAGCAACTTTGTTTTTGTTCCTGATTTACAGCATCCACAGTTCTTTCGGTTTTTATTTAGGACATCATAAATCATCTGTCTCTGGTGATGGTGGGGGGGTCCGTGCCCCAGAATGTGCGACATGAAAATTGTGACATTTTGAAACCAAGTAGCCTGCAACTATTAAGACATCCTTGCTGAACATCATGTCACTCCCGTCAGACTGCAGATGCTGGTTGAATACATATCCCAGTGTGTTTTCAGAATGAAGAAAGGATCTTTAATGGATATGAATCTTTTTAAACCAGCAAGAGAAATGCCATAAGGAAAAAGGAGATTACTACATATTTTGGTTAAGTCTAACCAAGGCATTTGGCCATATGAGCAG